CCCCCCCTTTTTAGAACTTGATGTTACTTCCAATTACACTTAAATGGTCTAGTGACACAAAAATTACCAACAGTCCATAGGAGCTGATTGGGGCCTATTTCAGAGCATTTTCGGGGTTGTTTAAGGTCTATTCGAGAACGTTTAGAAACTGATTTTGATCAGTCATTTCGTCTCCGTCTAGAGGGATTCGATAGGGGGTACAAAGTGAATCATGGTTCACCATGTAATAATCTACAAGGATCAACATTGTTGCATTAGAGTTACGACAAAAATACTTTTAAATTTATAATAGGTCTTGATTAACTGTTCCAATATCTGAACCGATCCTTTTTTTTTTTTGTATTAATCCAGATCGATCTCTTAACTGAAAATGCATACGACTGGAACTAGTTGTGTCGGTCCTTAAGGATTTGTCTCCTTGAGGCCATTTTAAATGTCCTCTTTCCCATCTCCATAGAGATGCGCAAGAACAAGACAGAACCACTTAGGACCGGTCCTAAAACTGGGTCTGAATCAATCTTTCATGTCTGGACAGGCCATAACTACTTATTTTCAATTTTTTCCTTGATTAAGTTCTGGTAAGAATGAACATTATGGTAAGAACTGAGAATACACTTACAGATCAATTTTAATTAAAAATCAACACTAATACAGTACACCCCGTGATGAGCGTAATTCATAGGGGTAGGATTAGACTAAAAAAGATCAAGGGTCCAGAACTCTTTTTACGATTTTCATCTTAACTCCTATTCTCACACAATTTTCCATCTAATTTTGTTAATTGTACATCATTATTTGATATAAAATTATAGCATTTTTCAGCCTTTGACAAAACTTTATCAAGTCCCAACCAATGTTTTTTTCGAGCCTATGGTTTGTTAAAAATCGCGACTTGCAATGCATTATTGTTTTCGTTCCTGGGACTAATTCCATGAGTGGTTATTGACAATAGACGAGACAACAGTAAACAAGGACGAAAAAACGAGTAGCAAACTACAAGGACAAAAACTGTAATTTCAAAAACACAAGGACAAAAATGGCAATTTTCAACAAACCACAAGAACGAAAAACATAGTTTACTCGTTTCTTCGTAAAATTGAGGACTGATCCCCTTGTGGTCACTCAAATCCGGTGACTCCAGGCTATCTGCAAAGCAGGTGGTCGCCCTAGGATTAGTCGGTTCGCATAGTGGGTTGGATATCCAGGCTAATCAAAAAAAATTTGAGGACTGATCAGTCCTCTAGGCCGATTAAGCCTAGGCCACACCTTAACCAATCCTTTTCATACTGGGTCGGGCCGATTAAGCCTCAGTCACACCTTAACTGGTTCTTTTCGTAATGGGTCGGGCCGATTAAGCATAGGCCACACCTTAACTGGTCCTTTTCGTACTGGGTTGGGCCGATTAAGCCTAGGCCACACCTTAACTGGTCCTTTTCGTACTGGGTCGGGCCGATTAAGCCTAGGCCACACTTTAACTGGTCCTTTTCGTACTGGGTCGGGCCAATTCTCGACCAGTCCGATACGATACACATTTCGAGGGGAAAAAAGGCAATTCATATGGTTGGCTTGGGCAACATAATTTCTAGATTCATATAATCCACCATCAAAATTACATATTTTCACTTTTGCAAGTGAAAACCTCTCAATATCCTAATAATAATAAATGTAACAAAGATATCCCCCACCCCCAACCCATCTTACAACCACATTTCTTTCAGGTTGGGAATAATAACAAAACTAATAAAACAAGATTTCCCACCTAAAAAATGAAAAAAAAAAATACAAATTAAAAAATATGAAAAAAGGAAAAGAAAACAAGTTCCATTCTTTACCACCCCCCAATCCATCACCAAAAGAGAGAAAGAAAGTTAACAACAAGCATTTACCTCCATTTTTGGCCATGTAGCTTGGCTCTTGATCGACATCCGTCCCAAGATTCGCGTGTGTTTCTTTAAATCATTTGAACCCACGAAAAGTGGGCTTGAAAGTCTCTGTTCCGTTTGTCGGGTTTCACCTTGGAGAACACGATGCAAAATTGAGATGTTTTTGCTGCTTTTTTTCTTGTGTTGTGTTACAGGTATTTTCCTGATGATTTCCAAATTCGTCCTTCCAAGGAGATCACCATGACAGTAACGTCATCATGGTATTTCCTACGGTCACCTTGTGGGATATCTAACAATTCATGCAATTCCATCCCTATACAGATATAGAAATTTCTCTTTAGAAGTTACAACAAACACCTAAACCGGATGTTTTCAGAAGTTTAACATGATCAAACCAAAAAAAGGAGCTCTTTTCCAAATTCAACTGTTAATCTGTATACTTGTTAACCAATCCAAAAATGACTCGGTAAATCCCACTTGAAAGTAGGGGATGGGAGGGTGAGATGTACGTAGATCAATAGCCATAGGGTAAAACGACTGTTTCCATAAAGACCTTCCAGCTTGTGAAAAGCATAGTGTGGCCAAACAAACGGAAGGAATAAAGCCTAATATATGGTGAAGAAGCATGAAAAAATAAATATATAAGAATAAATAATAAGTATGTGCATTTAAAACATACGAAAAGGCAACGAAGGCAGAACACAGAGAGCAAGAAAGGCCAAAGAATGCTTCTCTATCCCGCAACTTGTCCAACTCCCTTTGTGCCCAACAGCGCTAGCTACAGTCTCCAAACCTAGTTTGCTACCCA